CTTCCAGATACATCGGAAAATTTGAAAAAACAGTGAAAACGAGCGAAAAAATTTTAAAAGTTTGAATTCGCGCGCTTTTACTCGCCGGGCGGCCTTGAAAAAACCTCGTCCCTAAGGGCTTTCAGCGTATTTTTCGATGCGTTTTTCTCGATGAAGGAATTTTTTTTGAATTTTTTCTTTATTTTTATGTCAATCTACATGCATTTCTGCACATATTGATGCAATAAAAGTTTTCACCGTACACCACCTTTAAGCAGTCATCTCGAATATTCTCTTTTTTTTTCCTTTATTGCGTCTTCTTTTCAAATCTTCCAAGAACTAATGGATGAGCCTGGACACAAAAGTTTTCTTAGAATATTTTTTTCTCATTTTTTCCTAAATGACTCACTCAAAAACTCCCCATTCAATGTTGGTTGATCGAAGAATAAGTGGAAAACAGCTGAGTAGTTGGTTGAGAATGAAAAAAAAAAGAAAAAGAGAACAGGTGCATTTATTAGATTTTGAGCAGTTGTTACCCAACATGAACTTATCCATTTTTTCTTTTAAAATATTTTTCTTATCCCTTTTTTATTATTTGTTTAAATCCCTATTCAGTTCGTCTTCTGATTAATCCTGTAGAGTCTTCCGTTCTCTTCAGAATCTGTTTTTCTTTTTTTCTTGTACTCTTCATTCTCACATCATTCATCGGCCACCATGTTTTTCTTTTTCCTTCCATTTTTCATCCCTCTGCGCCTTTTTTATTGCAATAACAAACATTTCTTTAGTTTGTTTTTCTGCTTCTCAAGTTAACTTTTATTGTCGACTAGCGTCCTCGGCCTACGGCCGACTCCGCCAGGCGCGGCTATGCCGCGCAATTAGGTGGAGTCAGATGCAGGGCCTTCGGCCCTGGCTCTGTGGAATCAGTTAATCCAAGGTTCAGTCTGTTCTCCCTTTGCTCGCTTCTCAAGTTAATTTTAATTGTCGATTTTTTAAAGTACCAACAAATCTAGGCCTGGAATTTCAGAAGTTTAGAAAAAAATCAAACAGAAAACTATCGTTATTTTTAAAGTTAACAAAATAATTCAAATTTTCATGTAGTTTTCAAAACCATAGGATCTTTTAGCTTTATGTAGAAAAACATTCGTTGGGAAAAATAAAAAAAATCCAAGGTTTTTTTTCTGGCGAAAACCACAATCCTCAAATTTTCTATATTTTCAAGGAGTCATAACTTTTTTCATTGCAATGCTACACAGATACTGTCAACTACGAAAACGGAGTTTCTTACTCAAATTATAAGAATTTTCAAACACATTTTTAAAAATTTGCATTTTGAATTCGCACGACTTCATCTAATGAATGACCTACAGGGTGGCGCATAATTACCCGGGCTCAAGTTTGTACTTTCATAAAACTTGAGGGAAGCGTTGTACTGGGCTTAAATATAAGGTGCAAAAATTGAAAAATTCATCAGTAAACTGGTCAAGTTTCAAATATTTTGATCAATTTTGAGCTGAGTTATCGCTTGTCAAAGTTGCTTTATCTCTTGAAAATCACAAGAAACATAGCACCGTTCATCTTTGAACAATCATAACAATGCCTGGACTTAAGGAATCGCTTTCAAAATTTCAGTAGCTTTGAATCAAACGTAAGATTATATTTCTACCAATTTTCTAGCTTCCAAGACACTTATGTCCAAAGATATACCCGTTTTCCTCAGTCCGGGTAATTGTGCACCACCATCTTTTCCCAGACCCACTTTTACAAAAATCGAGCCCTCAAAAAATTGAAACCGGAAGTCAATAGATGACGTGTCTCAGTCACTAAATCGTTTTTCTGGAACATTGAACACATTAAACGGAGTCAAGTGTGACTTCTGAGTGCTTCTTCTTCTTCTTCTTTTTCTTCTAATCCAACGAATCCTTTCAGTTCGGTGCCTGACATTTTTATGAGGTTTCTTCTTGGAGTCATTGGAGCGTATTAAAATGTTCAATAGTGGATTGATGGCAGATCAAGAATGACATTTATTAGAGTAGAATAGAATAGTTTGAAATAATTTGGGATTTGGAGGAATGCATATGGGAAGAGGATTAAATGAGAATTCCAAATGCAAATTTTGTTTGTTATGAATTAGATTACAGTATTCCGTTTGCAAAAGCTAAAAACGAATTACAGAGCAAGTAGGCATTTTCAAGGTTTCCGAATTACAAAAAAATGTGTAATGGGCAACGATCATTCTTATAATAAAGAAATGAAGTTGCGTCTTTTTCGACGGACAGTAAAAGAAACAGATTAATTCCAGCTGTTTGAAGCGCCGGAGGCGCGGCAAACACTAAAGAAATAGATCAAATCGCGCCGTAGGCGCACCAGCTTGCTGGTACATACATATATACTCATTTTGAAGCTCTTGGCGTGAGAATTTCAAATTTTTTGTTTTCAACTAAATGGGAGCAACACTAACTGCCGTGTTTCCTCTAATAGAAGCTCACCCATACCGTCAACTTGGTGATCAATTATCTCGATTCCTGTCAAAGATATCAAAATTTTTTCAACTGATACAATATTGGTGATATTATGATAAGCAATTTATCAGTCAACAAATTTCTGATATCTCTAATAGGATTCGGGATAATTGAGCTCAAGTTGACGGTTTTGGTGAATTGCTTTTAGAGGAAATACGGTAAATACACACTCTATGTCTATTTCCTTATTGACTATAAATTGATCTGTTTTGGCTCCTAATAGAATCTTCAACATGCGCCTATGCAAGCCTAGCTTTGTTTGATTATCCAATTTTACAACTTTGGGACCGACGAAATTTCAAATTTCATCAAACTTTGGGTTGTGGAAGATTATTTTTAAGCTCTTGAAAAATCATATTTGAAAATTTAAGTTTTATTAATTTTCAGCAAAGTATTGAAATGTTGTATTTCGCATCTTTAGATAGCTTCAACTTTAAAGAATAAGACCACAATTTCGATTTCTGACCTCCCGACCCAAGAAAAAGCTCATTTTTTCATAGTTTCCAGTCATTCGAAATTCCCATTCGTTCCATCTTAACGCGTCCAAGTGTCCTAAAAACATGTTGTCTTTTTTCCATGTTCCTCCTACTTTTCAACTCCTCTGTCCTTCTGTTTTTCAGCTCAAAAAATATTTTCCTTACTTTTTTTTCGCTTGAATGATTTTCCAAATTTTCTTTTAAATTTTATATTCTTACCGAAACAAGTGGAACCCATCATCTTCGTTTCTCAAACACTTTTTTCCTTAAAAAATCTCACGAAAAGAAAAAAACAAATCGAAAAACAAATTTGATTGCCCTGAGAGCCGCCAGAACTAGACATCGTTTTTGTCGAAGGTAGTTCATTTTAATTATGTATCTCTTTCTCTTTTTTCTTCCTTTTCCCTTTTTGCGATCTACGATGAATGGTCTTTCGCTTCTTCTTCCATTGCTCAGTCTCTCTAAAAACTACTGAATATTCATGTCGATTTCATTTCCAATTTTTTAGAAGATGGTGGCTATCTTTTTTTTGAAATGTTTTCTTTTGAGCTTCTAGCCCTTCAGGATCATTTTTTAAAAAGATGCTCTGGAAATTGGAAAATTGAAATTTGAAATTTGATCCTGTTTGGTTATTTTTCAAAAAATGGAAATCAAGACTAATGGTTGGAAAAATGAAAATGGATGTTTTTACCAATTTTCAAATTTTCCTTTTTTGGAAAATTTAACAAACCGAATTCAAAGACATCTTTTTGCAATTTTTTTTCGGAGTTTTTTGGAATTTTCCTGAAAATGAGGAATTTTAAAAAAATTTTAAACTTTGGAACTTTCGAATTTCTGGTTTTCCAAACTTTCTGAAATTCTGAAGTTCTGAAGTTCTGAAATTTTGAAATTCTGAAATTCAGAGATTCAGAGATTCTGAAATTCTGGAATTCTGTATTTCTGAAATTCTGAAATTATGAGATTCTGAGATTCTGATGTTCTGAGATTCTAAGGTCGAAAGGTTCTAAGATTCTAAGATTCTAAGATTCTAAGAGGAGATCTTTTTTAAGATTTGAAATTCTAAAATTCTGAAAATTCTGTAACTCTGAAATCATTATTTTTCACAGTTATGGAGTTGTTTTCACAGTTATGAACTCTTTGAGCCATAATAATCGAATTGTGTCCAATTTGTGACTAATTTCTGAAACACAAGGTTCCTCTCCGTTCTGCCCTAGTTCTTCCGCATTCTCTCTGTTTTGTTATAAACTTCTGTCCCCTTTTCTTTATGCTTTTTTTCTGACTCATCCTGTCTTTTTCCTGTTCTCTCCACTCCTGTCGCTGAGCATTTGTCTGAGATATAAATGATGATTTTCCTTCTTCTTCTTCTCCGCCCAGTCTTCTCTTCCTTAGTTGATGTCGTTCTCTCTCCATCGAACACCCCAATTATCCATTTTTTGGGAGTAGGAGTGAATTTTCCGCCCTTTTTCCCATATACACACCTCCGTCTTTCTTTTCTCTATAATTTTCTACCAACAACAGGAACAGAAGAAGAAACATCAAAATGCAAATGTTTCGACACTCGTCGGCGGATGTGTGGAAGGCGAAGAAACCAACACTGGAGAGAAGATCAACTGATGGGAGACGATCATCTGTGGTGGATTGGATCAATGGATTAAGTGATAACAACAATTATAAAACGGATCTTTGGGTGGAGAAGTGAGTTGAAGTTTTTTGAATGAATTAGAAGATGCCAAACTCAGGAGTAGTAAAAAACCAACTCCTAAAACATAGGCTCAACTGAAACAAACTGGAACAGACAATTTGTAGTTAAGGATAATGTTGATAACTCTTTTATCAGTTTTAAGCGCATCTGAATAACTGTAGGACACAATGAATTCAATTTTGTCCTAAAAACTGTTTAAAAAACGTTTTTTTTTTCAATTTTCAAGGTAACTTTCCCTGAATACCGTAAACACTCCAATAGAACGCCCGCCTCTTCTAATTTTCAACTTTGAGCTCAATTATCTCGGTTTCTGTTAAAGATATCAAACAGTTGTCAACCGACAAATTGTTTATCATGATTTCACCAATAGTTTATCAGTTAACAAAATTTTGAAATCTTCCACAGGAAATGAGATAATTGAGCTCAAACATTACAGTGTTGAAGCCCTTCCATTACAGGTTTTACAGTAACTGTAGCGACAATAAATGTAATTTTGTCATAAAAAAGTTTAAAACATCCGAACATAAAGCATTCTCCGATGCATCTAAACCTTCCAATATGAATTATAGAATTTTCAATTACCCTATCTTTAAATCACCAATCACATGTGATAAGGTTCATAAGACTCGACCCATGTACCTTATTATTAAAGTTTCTCCAACCCAATCAACAAACATCATCTTTTTGAGAACATGAACATTTCAGACACGATGAGGGGTGCGAACGAGTGACAAGAAACGGAAGTGTGTGTGCTGTTGAGGAATCAGAACCCGATGTGCCCACGCAACACAAGGAAGTTTTGCTGACCAAACTCAAAATTGAGGTTCTACTTTTTTTTCTTTTTGAAAAATAATTTTGAAAAACATCCTAAAATGGTTTTCAGAAAAAACTAATTTTCAGATCAAAAACATTATGGCAGAGCATGGTGCAAAAAACTATCTGAATCTCAATTCGCCATATGTCACTTCTCTTTGTGGTGAGTATACAATTAGGAAACATTCTGGAATTCTGAAATTCAAAAAATCCAAATGCTTAATTCAGTTTATTTCAGTCGCCGTCGACGCTTGCCTCATGGATGGTCTTCGTCGACGTCTTCTAACTCTTTTTAACAGTCCGTCATCAATGTCACTTCTTCAAATAATTGCCAAATCAAACGGGTCGGCACAACAGGTTTTGGATCAGACAAAAACGATTGAAGAGCATCATACGAGTGTAATTCCGGTGCATTTAATATGGATTCGCGAGGCGTTGTATATGAAATCACTGCCCATTATTATCAATCATTTTATTGACTCTAAAAGGTGAGGAATCATAGAAACGACTGCTTCGAAAGGCTAGTATTGTTTAGATTCGTGCATTTTTGCTATAGGTTGTACAGTACGGTTCAAAAAGTTATTTGGAACATTTTCCATTTTCCTCGAGCCTGTAAACGCGTCCCCACACTGTCAACTTTGAGCCAGTTTATCTAGGTTCCTGTCAAAGGTATCAAAAAGTTGTCAGCTGATAAATTGTTTATCATAATATCGCAAGTGTTTTGTCAGTTGACACTTTTTTGATAGCTTTTTAGAGAACCAAGAAAAACCAGCTCAAGTTTGACATTGTGGGGTCCTTCTATTACAGGTTTTACGGTAGTCGTAATCGTCTGGATTTGTACTTTTCCATAATTATAACTTTGATAGAACTACAGGGTGGCCGATAAGTATAGGACGTTTTGAAAGTGCTCCCATTTTTTCAATTTGAGGATTTTTCGAGAACAACCTTTATTAAACAACAAAAAATAAGCAGAAAATTTGATTTTACAAGAGAAATTCGAAGTTGGATCCACGAGCTTTGACACAGGCTCTCAAACGTTTCTTCACCGAATTGACAGTGCGCCGCAGGTATCCGTCGTCGATCGAAGCCCATGCTACCTCGAGAGCGGCCTTCAAGTCATCGACAGTAGCAAAAACTTTTCCCGCGATCTTCCCTTCCAACATGCCCCAAACGCTGAAATCCATCGGATTGAGATCCGGGCTGGAAGCAGGCCACAAGTTCTTGTCCAGGAATCCAGGGAAATGCGCCTCCAAGACGGCCAATGTCGATCTCGAGCCATGGGACGGTGCCCAGTCTTGTTGAAGGATAAATGGACCACCAGCAAAGTGCTGAGTGACCCAGGGTAACAAATTATCCATCAACACAATCTTTTGGTACACCTCCGAGTTGATTTTCACATTTCTTTCAATGAAAACCAACGGAGTTTTACCGGTTGCCGTGATACCGGCCCAAACCATGACACTTTTCGGGAAAAGGCGGTTATGGGCAAGACGACGTTTCGGAGACATGCTGTCATCCTTTGACAATAACTGTCTTGGTTTTGACGGTTGAGAAGAGGTTCAATAGTGAAGATCTTCTCGTCTGTCCAGATAACGTCAGAGACGCGGCGCACTTGAAAGTGCTGGAGTAATTTTCGGCATTTTTCGAGTCGCATCGCTTTCGATTTGTCCGAGAGGTACTGTCCACGACGTAGTTTGTAACTTTTGAGCTTCAAGTCGTTCTTGACAATCGATTGGACAGTGGATCGGGCAATTCCAAGCTGTGACGCCATCCTATTGAGACTCAATCCATCATTTCGAATGATCCGTTTCTTGATGATTGCACGAGTATTCCGGGTGTTGACAGAACGTGGACGTCCGCTTTTTTTTACTTCAGAAGCATCTCCTCGCTTTTTGATAGCAGCGACAACGTTTCGAACCGTCGAAGACGAAATTTGAAGGCGTCGAGCGATCTCAGCACTTCCGAGGCCTCTCTTGAACAAGAGTTCAATGGAAGGACGATGAGGAGAACTTTTCATAGCTCGGCGATATGGAGAAGTGAGAACAAATGACTGAGAAGCTTACTTATATAGTCTCTGGACTTTCGTAAAGTTTCGAAATTTTTCGAAAATATCCCTTGGCACCGTGCCAGGGAACGCTGAAAGCGAGCGTCCTATACTTATCGGCCACCCTGTATTATTTAATTTTAATTAGTCCGAAAGGAAAAACAGTACCAAACAAAACGATAGCATGTTTTGACTATTTCAGTGGATAAATAGTTAGTTTTGGTCCCTAAAAAAGAAGTCCTGATTTTCCAATTTGTTTGTGACCCTCCGTGCATACTAAAGAAAAACAGGTCTCCAGTTTTGGAATTAGCAACTTTTTTCTGCAAATTCAACTGAGCGAAACATGGAGCTTCAACGTGTGGCAACTCTTTCTCCAGTGCATTTTCAGCACTTGTTTGGTTACAAACGGCATATCTCATTAGAATAGAATTCGACAAAAATGCTCTCAATTAAAAAAACTGATATCTTCTTATGTCTGGTATAATCTGAACTTTTCAGGGTAAAAGTTCTGAAATACTTTTTTACGACGCTAAAGATGACTTTTTTCCACCGAAAACTTTCACTATGATATATTTTGTACGGCATAGTACAGTACAGCCGCAGTGCTATTAACAAAAATTTTAATATTTTGAGTTCCAGTTGATATATTTCACCTGAACGAATTATCCCAAAAACTTCAAAATACAGTTAAACCTGTAATATAAGGGTCCCCTCTATGTCAAGTTGAAGCTAATTTTTCTCAGCTCCTATGAAAGATATCAAAAATGTGTCAACTGATAAAATGTTTGTCATATTATGATACACAATTTATCAGCTGGTAATTTTTTAATATCTTCGACAGTCAATAAGATAATTGAGCTGTCATGTGATTGTTCTTCGAACGCTATAAAAATTTGACTCAAAAATTCATAATTCCAAGCATATTTATGCCATTTTCACAAAAATTTCATTCCCCAGACACCAACAAAAACTACAAAAAATTCCTATACAACTATGATTTTTTTTCTTTCCAGCGTACGTCGCTATTACGATAGCACCGCCCTTCTTATGGATCCAGTCAAAGGACGATTAGTAGCCACACTTCTTTGTAAGTCACTCAAAAAGTTTCTCGAAAAAAAGTTTCTGGTTTTTTTTTGCTCACTAATTCTTGATTAGTTTCTCTTCTTCTTTTATCTTTTCTTCGTTGAAGATGGCGTAGAGGACCAAATAAGTAGAAAACATGAGAAGAGATAGAGAAGACGTAGAAGTAAAGAGAGAAAACACGGAAAAGAAAAAAAAAGAAAAAGAAGAAAGCATGAATCCAAACGAGAAGATGAAGCCTGAGCTGCACCAGAAAAGAGCCCCTCATTTTCCACGGCTCCATGTAATTCTGTCTCTGTGTCTCTGTTGTCTCTCTTTTCTCTCTCTCTCTCTCTCTCTCTCTCTCCTGAGTCACTGCCTGGTAAAATAAGAGCAAAAAAAGGCGAGCAGAGGAAAAAATGCTTTCCTTCCGTCATTCACGTGATTTATGTGACATTTATTATTATATGGATCGACATGAAGACGTACATCCGGTCTTTGAACTTTTTTCTCCTAATTTGACATCTCACTTGCTAAAAGACTTGCTAAAAGAGAAGAGCGCATCAAACATCGAACGAAAAAATGCAAATTTGTTCACACCCAATCGTTTTTTTTCCCGACAGAGAAACGAAAGACAAAACAAACCACCACCGTGTGAAAATGCTCATAAATAGAGAATTACGTCCTTCCCGTCGTGGTTTTGGAAACGAAAAAAAACTGCTCACTTCCATTTTTATTGCTATTCCGGCTTTTTGAAAAAATAATGACCTTTTGGGTTGGATATAGAAGAATTAGGTCATGGAAAAGTTTTCAGGCAGCCAAAAAATTCTTTCTTAGAGTTCTGTGTCTCTGTTGTCTCTCTTTTCTCTCTCTCTCTCTCTCTCTCTCTCTCTCTCTCTCTCAATCGCACATTTTTTCTAATTCGCAACTCTCAATGACGCGAAGTTGTCCTTTTCTGAAAATATCTGAAAATTGCTCATCCTTAAGAATGACGTCATTAAGCTGAAACTTCCAGAATAAGAATCCTTATAAAAACTCAAAGTTCATAAAAACATCATTCTGTTGATAAGGATTTAGATTTGGAATTTTCTGGTTTTTTGGATTTTCAGAAGATTCTGTTTTTTGTTAGTTAGTACTTTTTCAGTCAGTGTTTTTTTAAAGATTTTCTTCACTATTACCGTAAAACCTGTGTTAAAATGTCCGGTTCTTCTATTACAGGGGTCCTTTAACCATGGGGGCCCCTTATACTTTTCCAGTCATTTTTTCCAAAAATTGTCAAGAAGAAATCTTTCAATTTCTAGTTCAAAGTGAATGAAAATTCACCAATTTCACCGATAATGAGAAGGTTTTGGAGCAAAAAATATTTTTTTTAATTTCAGTGAAATTTTAAAATTCAAACAACCTGATTTTTGAGGGGTTCTTCTATCACAGGAACTCTTTTAGTTTTCCAAGACTTCTCAGAGGGGCCCTTCTAATACAGGTTTTACGGTAACTTTAGATTTCCCAATCCTACAAAGATAATGTTTGCTCAACCCTTCTTCCCATCCTATTTTTTCCAGAATAGTGCTCATCAGTTTTTAAGTTAATTTGAAAAAAGAGGAGCCTCATCTGCCGCTGCTCCGTCTGTTTACAGACTAATCGAGTTTTCTTTTCTACTTCTCTTGTTTCTCTCTTCTAATGGAGAGAAGCAGAATCCTTCACAGAAAGAATTCTTCTTCTCATCTGCTTCTCTTCTTCTATTATACATATACTCACTAATGAATATTGCCCCTTTTAGCATCTATATATATATACATCTCCATATCTATATAGATCGATTCCCTTCTTCTTCTTTTTTTTTCATTTTGCTTTTCTTTTCTAGAATTCGTGCGAGATGATGAGCAAAATAGAGGCGCTTGTTCTGCTGCTGCTCATTTCTTCATTTCCTTTCCTCCCCCCAAAATCCAACTAGTTTTGCATTTAAATTTTTTCTTGTTTTGCTGGCGAAAAATTTCGACGAAGGAGGAGGATTTGCTAAAACCGAAACCCTTCATTTTACGAAATCAGAAAACAAAATTCAGATTTTCTTGTTTTTGCAGTGGCTCCGTGTATGGTAACATATCGAAGAATGAGCAGCCGAACTCAGAAAGAAGCAACTGCTGAAGAGTTGGTCGAAGGAGCATTTAGAGCTAGAAATGGAGAAAATTCTGGATCGACTTCTGGAGTCGGTGGTTCAAGGCCCCCATTATCGGTTGGTTTTTTATTGTCATTTTTATGTTTTTGAAATTTATATGAATTATTCCAAAGATAAAGACTACATAAACTGACTAAAAAAAATTGTACACATTTTTTTTTTGGTTTAGATTTGGGAGATACTGTAGATATTACAGTTTTTCCGGAAGTTTCCATTGAGTCGTTCCAAAGAGTTTTGAATCAAGCCAGAAGGGTTTCTGGTATATTGTTCTGGTACAAAAAAACGGAGCTGTGGAAGAGAAATGCCGGTGGCCGTTGCCGAGGGTCCCACAACGACAACTACCGTAACCTGAAAATAGTGATTTTTTCGTTAATATTTTCTCGTTTTTCACTGCTTTTTGTCGAGATTTCTTATTTTTTCAAATATAAGTCGGTAAACATTTTTTTTTCGAGACATCAAATCCCGAAAATAAAATAATTTTCAGGTTACGATAGTTTTCGTTGTGAGACCTTTGGCCACGGCAGCCGGCGTTACCCACTCACAGCTCTATTTTTTTGTACCAGATATCAAAAATTTTAAATTACAAAGGTTAATTCAAAGTTTTTTTTTGAAACTTTCAGACTAATCAAAAAAGTGCCGCTTAAGAAAAAAACTTGTAATAGAAGGGTTTTCTAGCTTGTAATTTTGAGCCAATTTATCTAGATTCCTGTCAAAGATATAAAAAACTTGTCGATTGATAAATTGTTCATCAGAATATCAGAAATTTTTTTTGGTCATGTGACTAATTTTCGATAACTTGCATAGAAACTGAGATAACTAAGCTCAATCTTGACCGTGTGGGTACACTTCTATTACAGCTTTTACTGTAACCTCTACTTTAACTTTGAATTCTTTGAATTCAAAATGTTCCAAATCACATCTCCGTTTTCCAGATAACTCGTCAAGTATCCAGCATAGCTGCATCGGTAGAACGCAATGGATCAGTTAGTCGAGACTATGTATTCTCTCTTCATCATAGCTGCAAATCGACGCTTCTCTATGGAAAGAATAATGTTTGTGTGTCGATGAATGGAGGAGATTTTGCGAAGGGTGAGCCTTTTTTTTTAACTCAAGAATTCCAAGAACTTCTCAACTTTCCAGGATACATGTCACTTCAAAAGTTCTACGACGGGAATCTCACCTTGAAATGGGTACCTAATCAGCTTATGCACGCCAGTTCTCAGCCCTCTTCAGGACACTCCAACAATGGAGAATTCACAAATTTCTGGAAGAATACAATAAACATTGAAATGCAAGACATCATCTACATTCATCTTCATCAGAAGGATGAATCATCTCCAACATGTCTCACTTTTGTGAACTGTGAAGGTGTGCAATCTGCTCCATTTCAATTACCAGCTGGACAACATTCAATTGCATTCCTTTCTTCCTTGGAAACTGGTCTAGCTCCTCTTTTACGACTTGATCCTCCTTTATGGACCAATTTGACAAAAGGTATTCCTTCTGTTTCTATAGCAACCGATTATTTGTTTTCCTATCAAATTATTTTGCCACCTGATCACCCTAGGGACCAATATGAACAGGTGAATGCATTTCAGAGAAAATTCTGCCTCGCCTACGAAAGAGATCAACGGCAGTTGCAAATCCCGCTATGCTTGACTACGTGTTCCGGTTGGTTAGGACTTCTGGAGTCGAACCGGCACCAGAGGATATTGAGGATCCGTTGGCTCCGTCGCCGATTCCACCGATGCATGATAATTGGTAAGAGGGGATTACTCAAATTGGAAAATGCTAGTTACTAGGATTTATAGTATTCAGATTATCAAAATTTAAATTTTAGAAAATTCAGGAATTTGGAAATATCCAAAAATAGAAATACTTGGAATCAAAAATATAGGAGACCAAATTCTAGAAAAACAACTTTTACTAGATTTTCTGATATTTTCTTTTTGTAAAAGCTGAATTTAGGGAAGTTTTTGAATTATTGAAATTTTCGAAGTTTTCGGAATTTCTGAGATTCCTAGAATTTCTGAAATGCAAAAAAAATTCAAGGACCAAAATAACCGACTAGAGCCAAAAATCTCAGAATGTTCAAAGTTCTCAATATAGCGAATTTTCAGTGTCTCCCTTCCGAACTCCCCATACATTGTGGACAATGTAGACAGTATCGTCAAGTAAGATTGCACCTGTTCCTTTAATTTCTTGAGCTCCGCCCCTTTCAGTTTCCAAATCGGCAAGGCTTGCCAATCGATGCGAAACCAAATAATGGCTCGCGCATTTTACGGATGGCTCACCTATGTCCGTCATTTACGAACCATCAGAACTCATTTGTTGCATTTGGTAGACACGAAAACTCTAATCTGTGATGATGATTGTGATCCGGTGGATGAGAAGTTCTGGAAGCAATGTCGAGCGGAACCTACAGTAAGATCCCTCTAATAAAAAACCCTCTGACAATTCGAATTTTTCAGAAAGAAAACGAGGAGGAATTTTTGAAAAGAGTATACTGGCGAGGGATTGAAGGAGTGAACTCTAAAGAGATTCGGAGAATGGCATGGCCCTATCTGCTTGGATTATTTGAGTGGAATGAGTATCCGGAGGGAAGATTCGAGCAGTTTACGAAACAGTACTGGGAAGACGTAAGGAGTGGAAATTGAGGTGTTTGTATGAATAATTTTTAAAGATCGAAGAGTGGAGAGTTCTTGAAGCAGAAGTTAGAAGACGTGACGAGGAGGCGTTCCGAGCTGCCAGAGCACGAAGAGCTGGATCTCCAGTTCGAGAAGAATCTTGTGAAGTTTTCGAGGATCCCAATGAGCCAACTTGCTCTCAACACTATGATCGGGAGAATTTGATTTCTTTGTTCCGTGCAAATCTTCATAGAATAGACAAGGATGTAGAGAGATGCGATAGGAATCTGATGTTCTTCTCGAACAAAGACAACTTGGAGAGCTTGAGGTACGATAGTCAGGAAACTTGAATTTTTCGAAAAGGGAAATTTCAGACGAGTCATGTACACCTACGTCCGTCGAAATCTCGAAGAAGGGTATACCCAAGGAATGTGTGACCTGCTTGCACCACTCCTGGTCACTTTTGAAGATGGTAAGGGAAATTTTATGCATTGATAAGTGATAAAATTGACTTTCAGAGGCGCTTACTCTCGAATGCTTCTCAATTCTAATGATCCGCCAACGTGGAAAATTCCCACAGAGACCGGGAATGTCAAAGTGTCTCCTAAATTTGAGATCATTGATTCAGGTGAATAAATTAGCCAAATTATAAAACTTATGAGAAAGTTTTCAGGTTGTGGACCCTCAAATATATGGACTGATAGCTGACATCGACTACGCACAAGCTCTGTCATTTGCATTCAGATGGTTCTTGTTGGATTTCAAGAGAGGTATAGAATAGAATTATCAAGATCAAGGTCAGATCAAAATTATTTATTTCAGAACTTTCATACGAATGCACTTATAAAGTTTGGGAAGTGATCTGGGCTGCACAACGTCTTCGAATCACTAACGACTTCTCAATCTTTTTCGGTCTCGCCACGATCACAAATTATCATGATGTCCTTATCACCAACAACTTTGACTACACTGATATGATCAAGTTTTTTAATGGTAAGGGAGAAAAGGTTTTGAAAAAATTGGAGTTACTGTATTTCTTCTAATAGAAGCTCACCAAAATCGTCAACTTTGTGCTCAATTATCTCGATTCCTGTGAAAGATATCCAAAATTTGTCAACTGATAAAATATTGGTGATATTAAGATAAACAATTTATCAGTTGACAAATTTTTGATATCTTCCATAGGAAAAGAGATAAACCAGTTCAAAGTTAGAAGGTCGGCAGCCGGCACGTAGCTCAACCGGCGAAGCACCGCTTTTTACTTCGAGCTCGATTATCTCAATTCCTGAAAAAGATATTAAAAAGTGATAAATTAGATGAAAGAAGGTATCATTTTTAAAAACCAGAATTGAAAAAATCTTCTAAATACAGAAACCCATCTCTTTCCCCATTTGTTTACCTCTTCTTTCTTCTACAGAAATGGCCGAACGACACGATTGTTCACGTCTTCTCTCTTCTGCACGGACCCATGTCAAATGTTTGCAGAACCTCGTGCAACACCTCAAATAGAGTGGAATCATCGATTTTTTTTTCTTTTTTTTTCTTGTTACCGGTATTTTTTCCAAATGTGTATTATTATATTTTAATCTAATTTTCAAAGATCTCAAAAATATCTTTCCATTTCTTCTTCCCCCATACTTCTCGGTTAGTTCCCAGTTACTCCTCCTCCACAAAAAAACTTCTACATATAAATTTGATTTTCTTATTAGTTCCGATTTAGTTATTCTTCCTCCCCCTCCGCAAAAAAGAATATAATTCGATCGAAACAATAAAAATGTGGTACATTTTTGAGAGAATATACGTTCCGTTTCACCGAGAAAAAGAGACGCAGACGGTTTTATGAGCTAAATGAGAGTGGAGGAGAGAAGGCTCTTTTAGGAACAACATGCATTCATTTGTGTGACCTCTCAAGTGGATTGGGAGAAATATGGTAGAGGACAAGGATTTGTCACAAATAGTTTCCTGCTCTATTGGTTGTTAAAGTTTGATGTACAGGGTGGCATAATTACCCGGACTGATAAAAATGGGTATATCTTTAGATATGAGTATCTTGAAATCACGAAAGATGGTAGAAATATAATTTTACGTTTGATTCAAAGCTACTGAAACTTTGAGATCGATTCCTCAAGTCTAGGTACTGTTGTGATTTTTCGAAAAATACTAATTTTTTCGAATTTTCGAAAACCCTCAATTTTTCTTTGAATTTGCGAAAAATCATAGTTTTTCCGAATTTTTATAAATCACAATGCTTACAAAATTTTGAAAATTTCCCAATTTTTCAATTTGTATATTTTTTTCAAATTTTCAAATATCTCCATTGTTACAAATTTTCAAAATTTTCTTTATTTTTCAATTTTACAAAATTACAATTTTTCACAGTTTCCAAAATCATAATATTTTCAACTTTAAATTTCTCAAACTGCCGAATTTACAAAAATTGCATTTTTTACAATTCTCAAGAATTCCTATTTTTAAATTTCGAGAATCCCTAGTTTTTTCAACTTCAAACTTCCAAATATTCGCAATTTTCAAAAAATTCTCTCTAGATTAAAAATAATCTCAGGTTTTCAATGATCTTTTAAAATCAGCTTTTTACTAAAATTCTTTTGAAGGTGATTTATATCTCAATTGTTTTTATTCTTTGGTCTCTCTCACCGACTGGATATCATATTCAGACACTACACCGACTGGATTAAATGTCTAAAAAACGACCGAATGTTCTTTCTCTCTGCCTGGTTTCATACTACAGATACCTTTCACCTCAAATCCCCCAATGCATTTGACCTCACATTTGGAAATGTGAGAAAAGGTGATTTGATAAATACGTACAATTTTGGCTTCACTTTCCCAAGATCTCCATTTCCTTCTTTCTTCTTTTTCCGTCTCAAAACGTCTCACTTCATCCGTTTTTTGGTGCATTAAATGGAAACCTGTAAACCGGCTATTTGAAGGATCAATTAGCCGGCCACCTGCTTCCTCGGTGAATCCTTCAATTTTTTTTCGTTCTCATCTACCCTTTTCCTTTTCTTATTCTTCTTTTTCTTTTCTATACGACTTGGTTAGCAGAAAGAAGGAGGGAGAATGCCCATTCGTATCGTAGATACTCGCTCAGTTGTCCTTAGTGACCGTTTTATTTCTCCTTTTCCGATTTTTATGGCATTTATGAGATACGATGCTTACATCGGCAACATTTGTGTATGTTTCTTTTTTCCAGAAACATTTTCATATGTTTTCGAATGTGTAGATTCTATTTCTACATCTTGATTTTTTTTTAGAAACGTCATGTTTATAGTGTACACAGATACAAATAATTTTAGTTCAAAAACTATATGCTTTTGTTTACGAATACTTAGAAGTACGCCAAATCTATTTTTTAGACCTGAAAACCAAGATTTGGCTTAGAAACATCTGGAAGATGACTGGGAAATAATTTTGAATTCCCGCTAATTCTGGAAGTTTTAGCATAATATGCATAATATAGCATAATTGCATAATATGCATAATATGTATAACCCGTATTGGAAATTCTCGATATTCTAAAAATCCTCACCCTCCAGAGATTTTTTTTAAACTTTTAATTTTGAAATCCATAATTAGAAAATTCGAAGTTTAGTATACTCCAAATTATTTTTGCCATAAATTCGAAATTTTAAAATTCGACATTGTAAAAATCCAAAACTTTGAGAGTCGCCAAACTCTAGGTTAAAAAAACAATTTCTAAGTTTCGCAATCCAGGATTCTTTCATTCTCATCCCTTCAAATACTTTTCTATTATTCATGATCTCTTCTCTTTACATTAAAAAAATCAAGAAGCTTTTCCTTTTTAGAAGTTGACTCTCTTCTTTTTTCCATTTCATTCTTGTCAAAAAAAACCACTTCAACATGAGAAAACAATGTTTTACACTCGTACATAACCACTTCAAATCATCGAAACTGTTTAGTGTTTAACAATTTATGTCTCCAGGTAATTTGCTAATTCAAAGGTCATGTACATTTCATATTATAACTTCTGGTTTTTTAGAGGAAAATGTCTAAATAGTTAATTTTGCTAAAATGTACAAAAGTGTGATAGGATGAAGCGTTTTGCTATTTTGTGCAGTTGGAAGTTTAGTACTTTTCTTTAAGAAATTTCTGTGAGAATCAAAAATAATTTGGGAGATGGAAACTCGACTCTAGTCGGTTATTTTCGTCCTTTGAAAATTCTATGATTATCAGAAATTCCAAAAAGTCTGAGAAATCCGATAATTTCGAAAAATCAAAAATCTTCCTTAAATTCAGATTTCCTTATACTATTAACAATCACCAAATTCTGTCTGTGTGTCCGTTTGTTCCCGGTTCCACGACCCTAGCGAAGTCCCCAGTAGACCAAAAATTCTCAAATTTTCACAGATGATCAGAAATAGCAGCGAGATGTTGCCCGTCTATTTTTCATTTTGAAATTTTGTTTCTGACGTCATCTGGAGACGTTACTCCATTCCTACAGTGCAACTTTAGAAAATTATTTTCACGTCACTTCCGTCCAACCCCTCTATTTTTTTTCTTATCCACACTATATCTGATAAAAAGGTGATTTTGTGAAAATAATTATTTAGTCTTAGTTTTGAAAAAAGAGAGAAAAAAAGAGTTCAGTAAACTTTAAAATTCTGACTTTCTGAATCCCCTAACTTCTCAAAAACTGAATTTCGGAGATTCTGATTCACGAAATTTGATTATTTTTTTCGAAAATGCGAAAATTCTAACCATTCCTATGCTTCAAACATTTTGGTTTCACTCTGAAATTCTAAAATTCTAATTCAGAAATTCGGAAAATTGGAAAAACGGGAACTCGGAAATACCGAGATCTGAAACTTCGGAAATTTTGAAGTTTGAAAATCAGAGAATTCAAATGTCCAATGTTTCGGAAATCCAGAAGTATAAAAATTCAGATATTCGGAATATTTCAGATATTCAGATATTCGGAATATACGGGAAAAAAGTTTCCAATTTCATTCACATAATTGCCCAGTCTAAAGTTTGTACTAGCTTGAAATTTTAGTAAAAGATTGTACTGGGCTCAAAATTGGAGGGCAAAAATTCAAATAATTTATCAGTAAACTGGTCAAGTTTCAAACTATTTGATCAACTTTGAGCTGAGTTATCACTTGTCAAAGTTGCTTCATCTCATGAAAATCACCAAGAAGAGTTGCGCTCATTTTTGGACAATTTTAACAATACCTAGACTTGAGTAATTGCTTTGAAAATTTCATTAGCTAAAAGCAAACGTAAAATTATATTTCTACCCATTTTCGGGCTTCAAAGATCCTCATGCCTTAAGATATACCCGTTTTTATCAGTACGGTTAATTGTGTGCCACCCTGCAATACTGACCTCAATTTCTTTTTTAATATCCGAAACTTTTTTTTCTGCAAAAAGCGAAACAATCGATAGTTAATAAAAAGGGGGTTCTTGGTGTTGCGCAAAGCTACTCGTAAAGCATCTTTCTCTCTCTTCCATTTCTCTTTTTTCCGTTTGTTTCGTTTTTCGCCGTTTTACAATCACTGTATTTGCACACCTTTATTCGTCCATGTTCCACGTTTCGATCCTTTTTCGGGGTGTTTGCAAAAGTAACAAAAGGCCTTATCTCTCTCTCACTCCAAATATGCACTAAAATGGAGATTTTAAATCAACTAAATACTCTTTACTATGTATATATTTGCACATATAGTGACCACACCCTAACTGATACCAAATAACTCTACTCTTATCAGTTCTCGTCCTAAATCGATAATATTATTCAAATGATCTACACCATCACGTCATGTGTCTTCTTCTTTTTTTGGCACCACCACCGGATGTGTCGACTGTTCACAGTTTTCTGTTTGTGTAATCCAGACTCCTTTTGTTCTTTTTTCTTTTGGGAGGAGAGGTAATCCTCCAGTTAAAAATAGTCGACTTTTTTACCCTATCTCTTTCGAAAGACTTTTCGCTTTCTCGATTTCAGTATTCCGAAAAGTTTGGCCAATTTAGTTTATTTTAAGCCAATTTAGGCTCACTTTGATCCAAAGAGTTCAGTGAAAATTTTGAGAATTTTTTAGTGATTTCCCACCGTTTTAGCTCATTTCTTTTTTTTTTTTTGAATACTTTTCTGAGCCGAATTGACTCATTTTTGTCTATTTTCAGCCAATTCAGGCCACATTTGAGCTAAAATGAGCCATCCTTTATTGATTCACTATTCTCACTAGAATTCATTATTTATCCATTTGGAATCTGCTTATCATGTATTTTAATGTTTTTTTTCCACGATTCTTGCAATCGTAAATAAATCAATAAATAAATAAATTTTTGTCTTATTTGGACTATGTAGGGATCAGTTCGAAATTAGACGGTTTTTTGCCAGTTTCAGTTATTTCGGGTCATTTTAGCCCAAATTTAAGTCTTTACAGATTTTAGGTGATTCGAAGCCTTTTGTCTCTATTTCGAGCTTTTTAAGACAATTTTAGGCTTTTTTCAAGTGTTGAGAGTAAGTAGAA